CTCTATTCTACATTTTAAGACTAAGTCATTACTCCCCACCCTTCCTACAAGGTTCCCATCATTTCCCTCCAGTCCTCATGGTTGATAAGAATGAAATCTAGAACTGAATTTCCCCTAGTTGGTTCTATGGCCTTTTGAAAGCTAAAATAATCATGAAGTCAAATAAAGAAACTAATAATTGCTGTGCTCTTATCAGAGAGAGGCCCTGGGCCAATGTCCAAATAATCACAGGCCACCACCCCTACTATATTACATTGCTGTGCCAGCTTGGGATCTGTTTCTTAAATTCATCTAATTCCTCCATTTGTACAAGTGGTCTGTAGTACATTCTGCTGATGATAATTCTGCCAATGATCTTCACTCAAACACTCTCTACCAATCAATCAATCATATTATTAAGCACCTAGCATGTAGGATAAAAAAAGAGGCCACAGACAGTCCCTGCCCACAAGGAGCTCTCAATCTAATGAGGGAGATGACATGCAAATAAATATATACAAGCAAGCTAGATACAGAATAAATTATTGGTCCATTTTTGAAGCAGACCAACATCATCACAGGGTGATGTCTTGACCTGTGAACGAATTAGATTTAAGTGAAGCAGAGTTGCACAAAGCTGTCTGCCTCACTCTTTCTTCCTGAGTCATCAAAGTCCAGTGCCAAGACAAAAGTCAAGGTGATGACCAGGATGAAATGGATGACTTTGGCGTCTGACCAAGCTCTAAGCACTCTACGATGCCTGCTTCAGCTGCCTTCTTGGCTCTTGGAATAAATCGTTCTCATCCACCCATTCTGCTAGGGAAAGTCTTCACATGCTTGGGGTAGACACTTCACTTACTCACCATTGTGTCTGAGGCCCATTGGTTACCCTCAACCTGGTTTAGCCCGTTTGCCAAGATGGTTTTGCCAGGGTATGGCCGATGCACATGCTACAGCTTCTTGGAGTCACAGGTGAGAGTTCCGTGGCAGGTGGACACCAAAGGCAGATATGCAGCCCTGAAGAATACTTGGCAAGCCCTCACACCAGAGATGCTAGTCCTCTTGAACACCCCGCAGGATAAATAGGAAATAATTAAAAGAGGGAAGGCACCAGAATTAAGATGGGTTGAAGAAACCTTCCCATAAAAGATGGGATTTTAAAGGAAGCCAGGAAAGTCAAGTGAAGGTAAGGAGGGAGAGTGCCTAGGGCTGAAAAATGGAGTGCTTTGTTTATGGCTAAGAGGTGAGTGTCACTGGGTCAAAGAGTTGGGGAGTAAAGTGTAAAAAGTTTAGAGAGGTAGAAGGGGACTAGGTTATGAAGGGCTCTAAATGCCAAATAGAGCATTCTGGTTTTGATCCTGGAGTTGATAAGGAGCCACTATAGTTCACTGGAGGTTGGGAGTATGACATGATCAGACCTGCACTTTAGGAAAATCACATTAGTGGCTGAATGGAAAATGGATTCCAGTAAGGGAAGACTTGGAGTAGGCAGATGTACCTGTCGGTTATTTCAGTAGTCCAGGAGTGAAATGATATGGGCCTGTGCCACAGTGTCAGGAGAGAAGGGGGAGTTTTTGAGAGATGTTCCAAAGGTGAAATGGATAGGCCTTGGTAACAGCTTGGATATGAGGGGTGAGAGCTAATGAGGAACTCAGGATGACTCCTAGGTTAGCAAAGTGACCTTTACCCCTCCGAAAAACTTCCTATCTGCAAAACAAGGGGATTGGACTAGATGACCTCTGGGGTTCTTTCCTGCTCAGAATCTGTGATCTAGTAACCACCTGTTGAGGATGTTGCAAATAAAATTCTGACATTGGATGGGAGACTCCAGAATTGAAGAATCTCAGAGTTAGAAGGGACTTCTTTATTATCTATCTCCCTTTGGAGCTTCCTAATAGCTCCTAGACTTGTCTGTCCATCTCTAGTCAGCTTGGAAGTACCTGGTTTTGGCCATGTGACTTTTTAACATTTTTATCAGTGACTTGGATAAATATAGAGGGACATCCTCATCAAATCTGCAGATGACCAAACAAAACAAAACAAAACAAACAAAAAAAAAACTAAGAGGGATAATCGGCACACTGAATGACAGCAGGGTCTAGAAAGATTTTGACAGCTAGGATCTCCAGATCCAATAAAGTGGAATGTAATAGGGATAAATATAAAGTCTCAAAATTGGATTTTAAAAAATCACCTTCAAAAAACATAATAGAGAATGTATAGCGAGATGGCAATTTAGCTAAAAATGATCCAGGAGTCCTCATCTTGTGCAATCTCAATACAGTTCATCAGTGTGATATAGCACCTGAGAAAGAAGATATAATTCAGGGCTGCATTCAAAGAAGCATAGTTTCTAGGAATAAGGAGGGATACTCCCTATTGTGTTCAGATCTGGGCATCACAGTTTAGGAAGGACAGTGATAAAGTAGGTAACTTCCTAAGGAGCATGAAGCAGAATTGTGAAGCAGCTTGGGTGCATGCCATAAAATTATATGAATAAAGTTGAGATGTTTAACCTGGAAGAGAATGGACTGGTAGGGCAGGGGTGATAACTATCTTCGGGTACTTAAAAGGTGGTTTTATGGCAGAGGGATTAATCCTACTTGTTCCACTTGACCCTGGGTAGCAGGTGTAGGAGCAATGGGTAGAAGGCAGAAAGAAGCATAAGAGGTCAGAAAAAAAGTCCTACAAATTGCAGCTATCTGAAAGGGTAATGGGCTACCATAGGAGAGAATGGGAGATCTCTGAAACAGGGAGGCCAATAAGGAGGTTATTGCAATAATCCAAGCATGAGGGGATGAAGACCTGTACTAGGGTAGTGGCTACATGAGTGGAGAAAAGGGGATGTATACAGGAGGTGTTGGAAATGTAAAAACAATAATTCTTGCCAACAGATTGGGTTTATGGGGTGAGCGTGAATGAGGAGTGTAATGAAAAGATGACACTATGGTGGTGAACCTGGGATAATGGCAGGCAGTAAAGATTCTATAACCCTGAATAATCACCCAGCTATGCCCTCTGGAGCACCATGAAATGTCTTCTCTTTCCCATTATGCCTTTGTAGGTATTTAAGGCATTGAGTATGAGGAATGGATGTCTAGTACTGTAGACATCTCATGTTTCAGAGAAGGACCCTTGCTGAAGACCACACAGATAGCGTCAGTGTCAGGCCTACACTCAGGGCTCCTTGTTCTAGTTCACATACTACTGTATCAAGAGCTTTAAAAATATCTATCATGTCCTTCTTCTTTTCCAGTCTAAACACACCTATTCCCTTTACATTATATAAAGCACCTTCTTTATGACCACCCTGTGAAGTGGCTACTGTGGGTATCAATATCCCCATTTTATAGATAAGAGAACTGTGGTTCAGCAAAGTTCATTTGGCTTGCTCTAGGTTACCAGGCTAGTAAGTACCAAATTCTGAATTTGGACCCAGGTTTTCTGCCTCTAGATTCATTGTTCTTTTATTTTATCTTTTTGTTTGTTTGTTTGTTTAGGCAATTGGGGTTAAGTGACTTGCCCAGGGTCACACGGCTAGTAAGTGCCAAGTGTTTGGTCTGAGGCTGGATTTGAACTCAGGTCCTCCTGACTTCAGGGCCAGTGCTCTATCCACTGTGCCACCTAGCTGCCCCTCTTTTTTTTTTGACATTTAATTTTTACTTTTTTTCTCAATTACTTCTTATTCTTTCCATTGCACTACAAAATTGTTTCTAGAACCTACTAAAAAAATCCTGAGATTTATACTGATAAGTCATTAGTCATTATTATGGTATAGGTATATAAAAAAAAATCTAGTTGGACTTGATTTGTCCACTGAGGTCCCTTCTGTCTGTGTGATTGTGGGAGTTAGGTCCAGTGTTCCTCTGAATACTGTCATAATCTAGAGATGTCCTTCTCTTCCCAGCTGTCAGTGGCTGTGAATTACTGTGAGTGGGAGCCAAGAACTTACACGCACTCCTCAATGTTGAACTGGAGAGTCCCCTACAGACAGGAGTGTGTTAGAGCTCACTTGAATGGACTCAGGAAAGCCACTGTTAAATTTTCTAAGGAAGCTTTTATGCCTCAGAAATCAGGAAATTTTGCAAACCATGGCTAGATGCATTGTTTGGTCAATTGCCTAGAATTAAGAAAGTGTTGGTAATGCAGATAAAATTTAAAAGTGTGTCAAGAGTAATTCCTCCCCTCCCCCCAGAGAGCCAGCTGTTAAAACATTTACCAGCATAACCCTGGACACAGCTCATAAGTATCACAAGGGTCAAATCCAGATTTTTGATTGACTCTAAGTTATGAGTACTTCCCACTCCCCTGTCTCTTTTCCAGGCTGAAAAAAGCTTTCTAGTGTGAGTTTGGCAACAAACTATGGATCTCTCATCTGGGTAACAACCTTATTAAGTTCAGAGGCTCATCACCAGGGTGGTAGGCCTAGGTGAAGAAAGGTTTTTCTGTTTTGTTTTGAGTTTTGTTTGGTTTTTTGGTCAAAACAACACACAAAGACAATCTATAAGGTGTCATGTAGTTGTAATTTGTTTTATTGAAGGAAATTCAAGTGTTAAATAGATAGACCAGGAGACGGACTGAGAATCACTTTGATCTTGCAGGTAGCTGTAGAATCAGAGACCAGGAGAAATGAAAGGGACCTCAGAGATCACCTAATTCAGCATCTTCCCTTTACTGCCAATAAGTGTCAACAATTATGGGACACTCACTGTATGCAGAGTATATCACGGGATGTTGTGGGAGCATACAAAGGAAGAAAGAGACTGCCTGCTCTTATAGAAATTATAGTTTAATGGGTATATGGGATAACAACAATAATAATAACAATAAATATATTAGCATTTATATAGCAAGTTAAGGTTTTGCTAAGCACTTTTACAGATACGATCACATTTTATCCTTAGAATAACCTTGAGAGGTAGGTGCTATTACTATCCTCATTTTATAGATGAGGAAACTGAGACAGACAAATGCTAAATGACAAACCCAACCAGGGTCACACAGCTGGATAAGTGTCTGAGGCCAGATTAGAACTCGAGTCTTTCTGATTCCAGGCCCAATACTATCCACTGTACCACATGAAGCTATGATCATCCATCTAATCACTTTCAAACTGATCACAACTAGTACGCAGATATATATACAAAACATCTAGGAGTTTGGAATATGAGACAGGATTAGTTAATTAGAGTTTCATGGAAATGTTGAATCTAAAGTAGTAGGGGGTTTGGGGTTTTTCTTTTTTTCTTTTTTTAGTATGTAAGTGGATGGAGGGGGAGATGTGAGTCCAAAGAGGAAGGAAGAAGGAAAAACAATGTGTAAGAAGTAGTGACAAAATGCCCAGCACGTGAGGGGAAACCCCTCAAAGGGCATTCCACTGGGGCCAGCAGAAACAGGGGCTGACCAAGAAGAGTCTCTAGGACTTCATTTTTTAAAAATAATTTTTATTTTTTATTATAAACTTAAACATCAACAAACATGAATATACAAATATACAAAGAACAGAAAAAAGGATTGTACATGAGATTTAACTTTTTTTAAGTGTATAGTAAATTTAACTTAGTAAAAGAGTCAAGAGACTTCACAAAGCTCGAGATGATTCTCACCTTCAGCAATCCTCTATCCTACCCTGAGAGAAATTCACTATGTTCCCGGAGGTGGACCCTCCCCTCTTAAACCCAGGATACTGAGTTCAGGAGCATCTTTGTCCCTCTTCTATATCAGGAGGATTAGTGGGAATTAAGAGTGGATTCGATGAGAATTCCCCAGGATCATACAAGAGACTTAAGGGTTCTTTCTTAATTATACATGGGAGGCAGATAACAATTCTACTACCAGTTCCCTTTCTTGTTATTTACACTGCCTTTATATCTTAATTGACTGCTTTGGGATGACTATCTCTTGAATAGTCTGGCAATAGAGAATGTTGTACTAGATGGAGATGAGGGAATAATTTGCATAATAGATTACTTCAAAATAATCACACTGAATTTGGGGCTCCAGAGTCCAAGTTCTGAGATAAGAGGTTTCAAGGACCTCATTATTTTGTGGGGACTCTTGGTTATGTGCGGATTGAGGCTATTTGGGTGGTAATTATGTTTTAACCTGTCAGGCTGCACTATGGCTACCTGCTTTAGCTTTGCAGGGATTCTTGGAAGACTTTATTGGGATGGAGGGGTACAGTGTCTCCAGGCTACATTTATATTTCCAGTTATACAGGCAGTTAGGCAGTTTCCTTTCTTGGAGAATAACTGGATATAAAGTCAAGGCAAACAGGCATGGACCGCCCAATTCTCTGACTGGCAGGAAGGTCCAAGTTCAGTGCTAGGACATGATCATTAAAATCTCAGGAGAAGCAGAGAATCACAGAGGTTTAGGGAGCTTTATCCCAATAGTCTGAGAAGCCACTGTAGGCTGGCTCTCTTCATGCTCCGGCATCAGGCTTGGGTTTCAGAATTCAAGGAATGACTTCCACATAATCATCATTGTTGACATTCACTGAAAAGAAACAAAATAAACAGTGAGGGTTTACAGCTATCCCAAGGCCCCCAGGCTTCCCTCCCAAATTTTGGCGGCTTGGAGTATATAACCTTCTAGAAGCAGTGAGGTGGAACAGTGGATGAAAGTAATGGTCCTGGAGACAGGAAGGCCTGAGTTCAAATTTAGCCTTAGACCCTTACTAGCTGTGTGCCCCTGGGCAAGTCACTTAACTTCTGTATGCCTCAATTTCCTCAACTGTAAAATGGAGATCATAATAACACCTCCCAGAGTTGCTCTGTGGATCAAATGAGGTAATATTTAGAAAGCACAGCACAATATCTAGCACATTTATTGTTGTTCAGTCATTTTTCAGGCATGTCTGACTCATCATGGTCCCATTGGGATTTTCTTGGCAGAGATACTGGGGTAGTTTGCCATTCCTTCTCCAGCTCGTTTTATAGACCAGGAAACTGTGGCAAACAGCGTTAAGTCACTTGCCCAGGTTCACACAGCTAGTAAGTGTCTGAGGCCAGACTTGAACTTGGCAAGATGAATCTTTCTAATGCTAGGCCTGGTGCTCTATGCACTATAGCGCTTAGTTGCCCTGGCACATGGTAAGTGCCTAATAAATGCTTGTTTTGCCTTCTTGAGACAAAACAGACCTAACTCTCATCATAGGCTAGGACATGAGGCTACTTATCTTTATTTTAAAGTGAGGAAACTGAGGCTCAGAGGGGATCCACACTTACCAGAAGCCATAAATCTTTCACTCCAACCTTGGGCAAGTCACTTAACCCCATTGCCTTACCCCAAACAAACAAATAAATAAATAAATGGAATCTTTCACACCAGAGCCTGGAGCAATTCTCCTGATACTCAGGATAGTATCAGTCAAATGGGGATGTTTGCTTTTTAAACACGAGGGCCCTTACCATAATCATCGTCATCCAAAGCAGTCAGTGCCGGTGGATTTCTCTGACTCTGGTACACATTATTTTTCTCTACTGGATAACGAAGAGGAATCACTAGTCCTTGATTTGGTTTTTCAAATTTGGAGATTAGTTCTTTTAGGTTTGGAAATAATACCTTTTTACCACTTTCTGCTGTCTATAAGGATAAAGAACAGAGCAGTCATTGCTGTGCCGCTGCTAAATGGCATCTCTCTAAAGAGAAGCAGATTGAAGGTAGAGCAAGGAGCCAGCATTTCTGGCTTGAAAATTGACTTTTACTTATTTTAATGTCTGTCTGTTTTAAGGCTGAAGCCTTAACTTGGTCGCTGGAGAAGTAAATAGTGAATGATTATCAACCAATAAATCATTCAATAAAGTTTTCTGTATTAGATACCCATCCTAGATTGCAAGTTCCATGAAGGCAATGGCTAATAGTGTTCCATCCAAATTTTGTATGTCTCATAATGCCTAGCACGGTCCTCTGCACACAGAAGGTGCTTCATAATTTTTTGTTGAATTGAATAGAAAAAATATTCATTGCCTAATATTAGCTAATTCATTCACTGAAGTTCTGTTTTGAAGAAATAAACTAGTCATATCATTTCTCAGAACCCTTCAATGGCCTCCTATTAGGACAGCTAGTTGGTAGTTGATAGGATGTGGAGTCAGGAAGCCCTGAGTTCAAATCCTGCTTCAGATACCTACTAGCTGTGTGGCACTAAGAGGGTCACTTAATTTCTGTCTGCCTCAGTTTTTTTACCTGTAAAATGGGGATATTAATAGCACCTACCTCCCAGGCTTGTTGTAAGGATCAAATGAAATATTTGTAACATATTTTATAAGCCTTAAAGTGCTATATACATGTTAGTTATTATTATTTTTGCCTACTGAATAAAGCCCAAACCCGTAGCCTATAATTCAAGGCTCTCAGGAACTCTTGATTCAATTCAATTCAACAACAAAGTATTAAATGAATACTATATGTGAAGCACAACACTAGATAAGGGGATATGGAGACAAAAACAAATAACTATTCCTGCCTTCAAGGACCCATTCATTCTATCGGGCAATATAACATGTATTCAGATAAGGACATATAAGATCGTTGGAGGTGGAAGAAAGCAGTAAGAAGCATCGGGATCAGAAAAGGTTTCCTCTAGGTGATGGGTCTTGAACTGAGCACTGAACCAAACAAAGGGTTCTAAGGTGGAGAGGGGAAAGGACGTGCGTTCTAGACACGAGGAAGAAACAGCCTGTAGAAAGATAGAGGCAGAAGATGGGCTACCACAGTTGGGGGATAGGAAGTAGACCTATTTAGCTGCACCACAGAGTATGTGAATGAGTGTAATATGAAATAAGTCTGGAAAAGTAAGTTGGAGCCCAGCTGTAAACAATGTTGTGTGTGAAGGGTTTGCATTTTTTTTCCCTAGAGGCAATGAGAAGTCACTGAACATCCTTGAGCAGGAAAGTAACGTAGTGAGATCTGTTCTTTAGGAAGATGATTTTTGTTCTCTATCTTTTTTTTTGTAGGCAATGGGGTTAAGGGACTTGCCCAAGGTCACACAGCTAGTAAGTGTCAAGTGTCTAAGGCTGGATTTGAACTCAGGTCCTCCTGACTCCAGGGCCAGTGCTTTATCCACTGAGCCACCTAGCTGCCCCCAGGAAGATGGTTTTTGGCAGCTCTGTGGGTGATAGATTGGAGAGAGTTAAAAATGGAAGGAGAAAGGGAAGCTATTACAATAGCCCAGCTAAGAGGTAGAGAGCAGCTGAATTACAGCAGTGGTTGTGAGTGGAGACAAGGTGACAGATGAGAGAGGTATTATGGAGGTGGTATTGAATAGACATGGTGATAGCAGTGAAGGAAAGGGAAGAGTTATGATGTCTCCAAAGTTGCCATCATGGGTGATTGGAATGTGTTGGTTGTACCTTCAAGAGTAAAAGGAAAGTTTATAGAAGGAGCAGGTGGGGAGCAAGGGGAAGAAGAGAAGTGAAATGAGTTCCATTTTGGACTTAAGGTTTTTGAGATATTTCTCAGACATCCAGGTAGAGATATCTAATAGATAGTTGATGATATGGGACAGGAGTGTAGATGGGATATTAAATACTGGAGCTATGGAACTGGAAGTCATCTGCACAGAGATGATCATTCAAACCATAGGAGTTAATGAAATCACCAAGAAAGAGAGTATAGAGAAAGAAGAGAAGCAGAGCCCTGATCATTTAGGGGGCAGGACATGGATGATGATATAACCAAGCAAACTGAAAAAGATAGTCACAGGAGTAAGAGAATGGATAGAGTCTAGAGAGGGCAGAATCATGGAAGCCAAAGAAGTAGAGTATCTATGTTTTATTTTGTATTGCAGATATTTATGTATATGTTATACCTTGTTGTTATACTTGTTTCAATAGGTTCTTCCCCAGAAGCCAAAGATATAGTGACAGTAAATGATGTTAGCACAGTTTAAAAAATAGGGGACAGATAATTACATTTTAGATTGATTTTTTTAAAAAGGTTTAAAGCTAAAAGACTTTTCTTCTTGAACCTTTGATAACTAAAAAATTCAATGGCCTTCTACATGCATATATAGGTAAAATTTTATTATACTGAAAACTCTGCATTGCCTTACCCTAGTTTTTTCATTAAATTTTATTTTTTCAATTACAGAACTTGGCTTTCTCTTCCTCTTATCAACACCCCCTCCCATTACCACCTTTGGGGGGAAAAAAGAAAACCAAGACTCTCATAACATATGCAAAATCAAGGACAACAAATTCCAACATTGGCCATGTCCAAAATATATATATATATATATATATATATATAAAATTCTGTACCCTGGGCCCATTACCTCTTTGTCAGGAGGTAATACAGTTCATCATCAGTTCTCCAGAACCATGGTTGGTCTTTGTAATCATCAGAGGTCTTTCAAAGTTGTTTGTTTTTTATAATATTGTTATTATGTCAGTTGTTATCTTTATTCTTTCCACTTTGCTCTGCATCAGTTCACAGAACTCTTCCCACATTTCTCTGAAACCATCCATATCATTATTCTTATAGCACAAGAATATTCTGTTACACAACAATTCATTTGCCTATTCCCCAGTTCTTTGCTACTACAAAAAGAGATGCTGATACATATTTTTGTACATATGGTTCCTTTTTGGTAGAGGCTTAGTGAAGGCATTGCTGGGTCAAAGGGAGGTAAGCCCAGTTTCATGATTTTTGGGGCAGAGTTTCCAAAATGGTGGCAACAACTCACGGTTCCAGCAATAGTGCATTAATGTGCCCCTCTTGCTTTCTCATAATAGTTCTCCCAATATCAACCATTTTGATCCAGTGGCTGTGAGGTGACAACTCAGAATCATAATACTCCTTTCCCTATTTCTGTGCCTTCATACTGACTGTCCACCAAGTGTGGAATTCATTTGCTCTTGCTCCTCTGCCTTAGAATTCTTGGTGTTCCTCAAGATTCAGCTCAAGTGCTCCTTTCTATAAGATGCCCTTCCTCATCCCTCTAGTGATTAGTGCCCTTCCCACCAATTACTTTGCATTTATTTTCTATGTGCCTAGAAATGTACAGCTTGTCTCCTCAATAGAATATAAATTCCCAGACTTTATACTCATATTTCTTATCCCCAGTCTAGTACAGGGCCTGGCATGTAGTAGGTAATTAATAAATACTTACTGATTGAATGAATCATAACACCACACTCTTAAGCATTCTGATTCATCAATATGTGCCTATTTAAAGAAAAAACTTTAAATAGCTCCGCATCCTAGTGTTTACAATCTTCTCAATCTTCCTTTTCTATCAGCTATTCAGTGAAAAATGGCTAAAACAAATAGGAATTTGCATTTCTGGTCATTTGACTCTGAAAGGGAGGAGAAATAAATGATGACAACTTGAGGGGATAGTAGGAGTGAAATTTTCTAATTTTCTAATAATGCTACCCGGGCATATATGTAGACAGTCAGAAAGAGCCAGTGGACACACACAGTCTGAAGAAAAAAAGAGAGGGAATGATCAACAGAGAAGATAGAAAAGGAATGAAATCAAGGGTACGAGTGGAGAAGTTGACCTTGGTAATAATAATAGTGAGCATTTATATATACTTTGAATTTTAATTTATGGAATAAAACAAGTATTTCCATAAAAAAGATGATTGTATATGAAACTATAACTCTACTGTGCATAACTTACTATTCCTTTCAAATATACAACAAAATTATCATGTAGTTTTGTTTCCGTTTTTCCTTCCCTCCCCTAGATATATATCTATATATCTCCTCTCTTCTTCTTCTTCTTCTTCTTCCTCCTCCTCCTCCTCTTCCTCCTCCTCCTCCTCCTCCTCCTCCTCCTCCTCCTCCTCCTTTCTTCTTCTTCTTCTTCTTCTTCTTCTTCTTCTTCTTCTTCTTCTTCTTCTTCTTCTTCTTCTTCTTCTCTCTCTCTCTCTCTCTCTCTCTCTCTCTCTCTCTCTCTCTCTCTCTCTCTCCTCTCTCTCTCTCTCTCTCTCTCTCTCTCTCTCCCCCCCCTTTTCTCTCTCTCTCCCTTCTCCTATAAGTCACCATGCTCTGGCAAGGCTGTACAAATTAATTTACGGCTTGAAGTAAAACTCAGCTCTGCCCTCCCTTCCCTGCCCTGTGGAAAGCCAAAAGCCAGAAACTGGTTCTGGCTGGGACAGCACTGCAGTCATACTCTGTACTGCAAGAGCTCTTAGCCAGAGAACTGAGGAACAGAGAAAATGGGTCAGATGCCAACACATGCATGATTCATACATCCAGCTGTGTGCCAGTTATGTCCCCACAGAAGTCACATGAGGCAGAGACTGAAGTTGGTAAAATGTGAACTACTCAGTTTGGGAGGATGTTGCAATATCTTTGAAGTTCAATCCCTAGGGAAACTGTCATCAAAAAAGGAGGAGTCAGAAAGTAAACAATAGGGGAACATAAAGAAATTAAGATTACCAAAGATCTCAAGAAAAAGAAAACTTAAACACCTTGAGCATAAGCAAGGAAGATATTAATAACCGAAGAGAATATGGCCTCAAGATCATCTAAATAAATCCACATCTATAAATAAATATTGCAGGACAAAGGAAAAAGAATCAGCATTTGTTGAAGCAAAATATTCTGTGAATTCCCAGGACAGCATGAAAGCATGTCAGAATGTTCCTGAATGGTTTTAAGAGAAAAATAAGAATCATGAAAGTAAAATTTATGGCCGACACAGGAGAAATAATTGGCAAAATAGAAAACCTTGAATCCCCAGTGACAAACTTCACTAAAGAAATAAGAGAATAATTGATTGTGAATGAAAATACAAAAAAGTAAAGGACATTTTGGAAGAAGAGAAGCAAAAAAATAAAAACATTAAAAGAAAACATGGGAGAGGATTCTGGGAACATGGTAGAGTAGGTCAGAAATTCCAAGCTCTCCAGATTTGTTCCACAAACAACATAAAATAGCACCTCGGGGCAAACATAGAGTGGTAAAAATAAATAAGGGTAGGGGCAGAATGGTGGTCCTCCTGGGACAATCTAAGGAGATCTGAAGAAAAATCCTAGGACAAGGTTTGGTTCTTGTGAAGAGTAAATACCTCCAGGCTAGTTCTGCTGTAACAAGTCACAAGCCCTGGAGTTAGCTAGGTTGGGAGGCTACCTCAGCCCCAGCCACAGGAACTGTTACCCCAGGGACAGCACTTATGGGAGGCTGGAGGTCTTGGTTTCAGTTCCAGGTCAGAGGGGAGAACTGAAAGAGGATCTGAGGCCAGAGGCACCATCCCTCATACCCCAGGACTAAAGTGATTATAAAAACTAAACTGCTACAAATAAAAAAATAAATGAACAGGCAAAGGAAGAATCCAACCATAGAGAGTTATTATTGGAATAAAGAAAACCAGGATTCATCTTCAGAGGAGGATACTGAAGCAAAGAAACTGTCTTCTACCCCAAAGAGTAACGTCAAATGGTCACCTGCCCAAAAAGAATTCATTGGAGAACTTTAAAAAGACTTTAAAAATAAAATGAGAGAGACTGAAGAAAAACTAAAAAAAAAAATTAAAATAAGAAAAACAAGAAGATTGTGAAAAGAAAGTCAACCAATTAGAAAATGAGATCCAAAATCTTAAGGAAGAAAATGACTCCTTGAAAATTAGAATTGGACAAGGGGAAGCCAGCAAAGTTATAAGAGATCAAGAAATAATAAAACAAAATATAAAGAATGAAAAAAAATAGAAGAGAATGTGAAACATCTCACAAGAAAAACAACTGATCTGGAGAATAGATCAAGAAGAGAAAACATAAGAATAATCAGACTATCTGAAAGCTATTATCAAAAATAAAATCTTGATATAATAATACAAGAAATAAAAGAAAATTGTCCTGAAGCATTAGAACAAGAGGGAAAGTAGGAATAGAAAAAATCCACTGATCACCACCTGAAAGAGATCCTACAAGGAAAACCCACAGGAATATTGCAGTTAAGTTCCAAAACCCCCAGCTCAAGGTTAAAATATTATGAACAACAAAAAACAAACAATTTAAATATGGCAGTGCCACAGTTAGAATCATAAGACCTAACAGCAGTGACATTAAAAGACCACAGGTCTTGGAATACTATATATTGAAGAGCAAAAGAACTGGGGTTCCAGCCAGAAATATCATTCCCAGCAAAGCTAAGCATAATCCTGAGTGAAAAAAAAATGGATATCTAATGAATTTTCAGTTTTCAGGATTTTGTTAAAAAAAAAACAAACCTGAATTTAGTAGAAGATTTGACATACAAAGCCAAGAGAAATATAAGATGCATACCAAAGACTAATTACAAGGGACTCAATAAAGACAAACTGTTTACCTTTATGTATGTAAAATGTACACCTAAGATTGTTGTTAGTAATTGGGTAGTTCATAAGAAAGATTGGGGTAGGCCTGAGCATGATATGACTTTTAAAAGTAAAGCCATTTAGGAACAGCTAAAAAGAGTAATCATACAAACGAGGTACAAGAGGAAGCACTGACACAGAGGAATTAGATGGGGGGAGAGGGCTTTTAGTTCTGGAAATCTATTTTCATCAGGAATGGGCTTAACAGGGAATAAGACATATCTATATAGAAGAGCCTAAAAGTCTTCTAAATTAAGAAAGAAATACAACACTAAGGGCATAGGGAAGGGGGAGAGGATAAGGGAAGGTTCTTTAGAGGGGAGGGTGAGAGGATAGGTTAAAGAGGGATATAAAAAGATGTTTAGATTAATGGGAATTGGGAGGATAAGGGAAGGATCCTTGGAGGGGGAGTAGGGTCAGTAATAGGAGGAGGAGGTAGTAGGTAGAAATAAAGCAGAGGACTCAGGAAGGATAGGAAATAAGAGTTATGCACACACATAAAATAAAAATCAGGAATATAATTTATTAGGGAAAAAGGAGCAGGGCTGGTAATCATGATCTCAGACAAAGTTAATGCTAAAATAGATTTAATCAAAAGAGAAAAATAGGGAAACCACACTATGGTGCAGCCATATTTTTCAATTTTGTTTTGGACTATTTAAAACAACTAGATGGTATAAGGTGGGAATATTGCTGTGGAGTAGGAAATGATGAGTTGGTGGACTTAGAAAAATACGGAAAATCTTGAACTTATGAAGGAAGAGGTTATATACCCTTCAGAGAAACAGGTTAAGTAAGTATAGTATGGTCTTACAAAGATGCATATGAATGTATATATCTATATATAAGTATGATTATTGATATCTGTATATATATATATTATATGTGTGTGTGTGTGTATAAGTCCATGTATAGGTATATGTGTGCCTATGTATATATGTATATCTTTGTGTATATATCTATATATGTGTGTATTTATGCATATATGTGTATGTGTGTAAATATATATATATGTGTGGTGTGTGTGTATATATACATGTACATACACATATACATATATCCATGCTTTATTGTAGCCTTTTGGCAGGAGGAGGGGGGAAGAAGAGGGAAAAAAGAACAAAGTAAGAAGTGCACAGTAGAGAACAAAAGAGAACTTACAAGAAAGCAAAGAAAAGGTGGATAGCTCTCAACACAATGCATAGTAGCTATTACATAGACTTTCTTTAAATGGAAATTTATTGCTGTATGTTTTTAATCCTCTCTCACATTCTGCTGTGTGCATGGCAATGCTTTCTTTTCTTTTCTTATTTTGTATTTAAGTTTAAAATAAAATAATAAAAATAAAAATGTATAAATAAAAAAAGAAAACTATAGAAGCAAAACACACTAATCTTGAAGATAGTATATGCAGGCAACTTAAGGATTATAGAACTTTAGAAAGCACACAAGTAAAAAAAAAAACCCTGAACATCATAACGCCAGAAATAACATCAGAAAACTAGCTAGAATTTTTGGTCACAGAAAACAAAAGTACCAATCAAAAGAATCCACATGGTACCTCCAGGAAAAAAAAAACACCAAACCCTATACTGCAAACTGCAAATCACATAGTGGTTAAACTTAACAATTCCAGTGAGAAACAACACATTCTGCAAGGGACCAGAAGAAAGACCTTCAAATATTAAAGAAAGGAAATTTGAGTAGTACAAAACTACTGTGAACCCATTAAAAACCACAGGAGGAAATGGAGTAGTGTATTCTGAAGAGCAAAGGAGCTCAAGATGCAATCCAAGGTAACATACCCTGCAAATTTGAGTCTAAGCACTAATGTTAAAAAAGATGGAAATTCAATCTAAAAAAAGACATTTGAAGCATCCCTACAAAGAAAAGCAGACCTAAGAAAACCATTTCCTTTGTAAACACTTCAAAATAAGAGAAATATAAGAAGAGTAAACAAATACAGACAGCAACATAGGAAAGTGCAGGTAATTAAACAAATAATCCCAGAAAAAAAAAGGGAGGACAACTAAAAATATGTTTAGGAGGATTCAAGCAGAGGATGAGATAAGAAGGTAGGAGGTTGGAGTTAAAGGAAGGAAGTTCAGATTACTGGATCATGGATATACAATAGTGAGTGATAAAATGCCTAAAGATGTTACTGTCCCTGAGTGTGACTGACGTGAAGTGAAGATGGGGGTTATAAATAGAAGCCTGATGAAATAAGAGGTCAGGATATTCTCAAGGACATCTATGCATATATTGGAGTACCCAAATGTCCAGGCAGGGATTGGAATTAAGAAGAAAACTGTAAATTGGGAATTAAACTGATTAAGGAAGGAAGAGAAATAACATAAACGTCAGTAGATCATTGGGACAAACAGGTGGACCAGGTGATAAAAATGAATAGAGTGACTCTAAAAGAGAAGTTGATGAACAATAACAGGAAAGGAATAGCCTACAAGTAAGAGTGAGGATCAAGGAATAAGTTCCTCTTCATTCTCTTCTTCCTCTTTGTGGCCCAGTTCTTCATGGAGTATAAAAATGGAGTACTTGAGAGTGTGACCAGTGTTGCCTGGCCCTATGGAGAAAACTATGTTTCTATTAGATAGAACAAGTAAGAAGTAAATAAATCTAAGATAAAGGGAAAGCTTGTTAACAATAGGCCAGATGTTCCAGAGGGTGCAGTGGAATAGAAGCAGCATAGGAAATGATGGACTTGGGGGGTGAGTGACAATATGAGGAGATACAGCAGGGAGGATGATTCAATTTCCACTTTATAGCATAAAGGATAACCAGTTGACCAATAACTTCACTCTTAAGGGCCCAGCAATTCTAGAGCATAAATATGTGGCTCCTTACTGCCTCTGACTCTCACAGGTTCAAAATCTCTTACATTTCACAGACTCCAGTATCTAAGGAAGAAGAGGGGGTGACTGGGTTCTTGGGAGCTGGGCTGTTGCACTGAACTGGAATAGAAGCCTCATCCCAAAATGGCCACACAGAAGAATGCACACCCAGAAGATATACATGACACAAACACTTCGATTCCCACCTTCTCATTACGACACTATGGGGTTTTTCTTACCTGTATCGTGTAGTATCCATATTTTTCTGTTTTGATTCGGTATGTGTAGATCTTATTTTGAAACCTGTGGGAAAATAACTGAGTGATTGTACTATTCCAGAATCCAATCCACATACTCCAACCCCATAGTGCTTTCCCGGCAAAACTTTTACTGTTTTAGCTTCCAGAAAACTGGAATCCCAATTTTGAGGCCCTCTATATTCTTGCAAGATTAAGGAACACATTTCTTTGGCCAGTGAGCTCGAATTCTTTGAATTTTGGCAAAAATCTAGGATGGAATACCAAAGAGACACTGGAAAACAGCTAGAAAAAGAAAAGGTAGAGAGAGGATTCTGGAAAGATAGCAGAGCAGGTCAGAAAATTCCAAGCTCTCAAGATTTTTTCTCCACAAAAGAGATAAAATAGCACCTCAGGGCAAACAACGAGCTGTAAAAAATAAGAGTAGTAGGGTCACAACAAGGGTCCTCCTGGGACAATCTAAGGAGATCTGAAGAAAAATCCCAGGATGAGGTTTGGTCTCTGTGAAGAATAAACATCCCTAGAGGTTAGCTGGGTTGGGAGGCTGCCTCCCAGGAACAGTGAGGGAAATTGGGCATCTGAGCTGGGGAAGATTGAAGGAACCTCTGCTGAGAAGGAATGCCAGATCCAGCTATGCTGCAGAGATGTGGCTGGGGGTCAGAAGGAGCTAGCACATGCCTGGTGAGTGCAGAAGCAGTGGGATGGGGATGCTGCTGGCTGTGGCACTTACAGGAGGCTGGAGGTCTTGGTTTCAGTTCCAGGCCAGAGGGGAGAACTGAATATCTGAGGCTAAACACACCATCTCCCATACTCCAGGACGACAGGTGATTACAAAAATTAAGCTACTACTCCAAAAAAAAAAATGGACAGGCAAAAGAGAAAGAATCCAACCGTAGAGAGTTACTATGAAAAGAGAAGACCGGGATTCATCTTCAGAAGAGGATACTAAAGCAAAGAAACCCTCTTCTGCCCTAAAGAGCAATGTCAAATGGTTACCTGCCCAAAAAGAATTCATAGAAGAACTTAAAAAAAGACTTGAAAGGGGCAGCTAGGTGGCACAGTGGATAGAGCACTGGCCCTGAAAGACCTGAGTTCAAATCTGGCCTTAAACCAAACACTTGCCACTTAGTAGCTGTGTGACCTTGGGCAAGTCATTTAACCCCCATTGCGCCCCCCCCAAAAAAAGACTTAAAAAATCTCTCAGAAAGACTGAGGAAAAACTGAAAAAAATAAGGACAATACAAAAAAAACAAGAAGATTATGGGAAAAGAAAGTCAACCAATTAGAAAAGGAGAGCCAGAATCTTAAGGAAGAAAATGACTCCTTGAAAATCAGAATTGGGCAAGGGGAAGCCAATGAAGTTATAAGAGATCAAGAAATAATAAAACAAAATATAAAGAATGAAAAAATAGCGGAGAATGTGAAACATCTCACTGGAAAAACAACTGACCTGGAAAGCAGATCAAGAAGAAAAAACATAAGAATAATTGGAGTACCTGAAAGCTATGACCAAAAAAAGAATCTTAATACAATAATACAAGAAATAAAGGCAATTGTCCTGAAGCATTAGAACAAGAGGGGAAAGTAGAAAGAGAAAAAAATCCACTGATCACCACCTGAAAGAGATCCTATGAGGAAAACCCACAGGAATATCATAGTCAAATCCCAAAACTCCCAGCTCATGGATAAAATATTAAGAGCAACAAGAAAAAAAGTAATTTAAATATGGCAATGTCACAATTAGAATCACACAAGACCTAGTGGTGGCAACACTAAAGGACTGCAGGTCTTGGAACACTACATACAAAGAGCAAAAGAACTGGGGTTCTAACCAAAAATGTAATTCTCAGCAAAGCTAAGTATAATCCTGAATGAAAAAAAAATTAATGAATTGTCAGACTTTCAAGATTTTGTTAAAAAAAAAAACAAACCTGAACTTAATAGAAGAGTTGACAAACGAAGCCAAGTGAAATACAAGGTACATACCAAAGATTAATTACAAGGGACTCAGTAAAGACAGACTGTTTACCTATTGTATATGTAAAATGTAAAACGTATGCCTAAGATTGTTATTGGTAATTGGGTAGTTCACAAGAAAGATTGTGTTGACTTGAGTATGATATGACTTTACAAAGTAAAGCCGTTTAGGAACAGTTAAAAAAGAGTAATTATCTTGCACAAATGAGGTGCAAGAGGAAGAACTGACACAGAAGAATTAGATGGGGGAGGAGGGCTTTTAGTTCTGGAAATCTATTTCCATCAGGAGTGGGTTCAAGAGGGAACAATGCATATAAATCTAGAAAAGTATAAAAGTCTTCTAAAATTAAGAAAGAAATGAAACATTAAGGGGATAGGGAGGGTAAAGAGGATAAGGAAGGGATCTCTAGGGGGGAGGGTGAAAGGATAGGTTAAAGGGGGGTATAGAAGGGTGTTTGGATCAATGGGAATCGAAGGATAAGGAAGGGATCCTTTGAGTGGGAGTAGGTTAAGTAATTGGAGGGCAAGGTAGCAGGTAGAAGAAGTAAAATAGAGGAGTCAGGAGGAATAGGAAATAAGAAACATGCACAAAGATAAAAACAAAGAACAGGAGTAGAATTTGTTAGAGAAAGTAGATGGCTACATACGTAGGTATGTATATGTATGTATATCTCTATATCTCTATATAAATATACCTGCACTTCATTGTAGCCTTCTGAGGGAGGGGGGCAGAGGAAGGACAGAAAATAACAAAGTAAAAAGTGCACAGCAGAGAACAAACGAAAACTTACAAGGAAGCAAAGAAAAGATGGACAGCTCTCAACACAATGTGTAGTATTTATTATACAGGCTTTCTTGAAATGGACATTTATTGCTATATATTTTGAATCCTCTCATGTTCTATGTGCACATGACATGCAAATTTTAAATTTTTCTCCCCCTCCCCAAGACGGCACACAATCTAATATAAGCTATATATATACATTCCTATTAAACATATCTTCACATTAGTGATGTTGTAAGTAAGAATTAGAACTAATAGGAGGAACCACCACAAAGAGGAAACAAAACACAACAGAAGAAAAAAATCATAAATAGTATGCTCTGATCTGCATTTAAATTCAATAGTTCTTTCTTTGGGTGTGGATAGCATTTTCCATCATGAGGCTTTTGGAGATGTCTTAGATCCTTGTATTGCTGAGGGAAGTTAAGTCTATCAGAGTCAGTCATCACTCAATGTGGCTGCTACTGTGTATAACAGTTCTCCTGGTTCTGCTCACTTCACTCAGCATCAAACCATACAAGTCTTTCCAGGTTTATCTGAAGTCTGCCTGCTCATCATTTCTTATAGCACAATAGTATTCCATTACATTCATATATCACATTCACAATTATGATTACTATCTGTGTCTTTCTCTCTACCCTTCCTCCCCCTTTATGCTTTTCTTTCTCCTTTCTCCTTTTCCCTCCTCACTGATGTTTTGCTTTTGACCACAGCCTCCCTCAGTCCCACCTTCCTTCTATTAGCCCCTTTTCCCTCCTACTGCCTATAGGGCATGTTAGATTTCTATGCCTAACTGATTATGTTATTCCCCTTCTTGAGCCAAATCTGATGAGAGTAGGGTTCAGATAATGCTTATCTCCCTCCCTTCTTTCCCTCTGCTGTAATAGGTTTTTGTGCCTTTTCCTGTGATGTAATTTACCCTTGTTTGCTTCCTCACCTTTCCTTTTCTCTCAGTACATTTTCTTAGTTAGATCAGATTAATTCACTTACTTGGATCCATTTAACCCACTTGATTAGATTTTTTTCATCATTACATCAAAGTCAATTTATACCCACCCCCTTTATGTATACCCCTTTAACATGGTGTAATAACAATACAGTTCTCAAGAGTTACAAGTGTCATCTTTCCTTGTAGGGATGTAAACAGTTTGCCCTTACTAATAACATGTTGTTTCTTTCTGTCCTGTTTACCTTTTTATGTCTCTCTTGAGTCTTGTATTTGAAGATCAAATTTTCTGTTATGTTTTTTATTTTTTTTAAGGCAATAGGGGTTAAGTGACTTGCCCAGGGTCACACAGCTAGTAAGTATCGAGTGTTTGGTCTGAGGCTGGATTTGAACTTAGATCCTCCTGACTTCAGGGCTGGTGCTCTATGCACTGTGCCACCTAGCTGCTCCCAGAGCTCTAGTCTTTTTATCAGGAAGGTATGGAAGTCCCCTATTTCACTGAATATCCACCTCCTTCTCTGAAAGATCATGCTCATTTCTGCTGGGTAGTTGATCCTTGGTTGTAATCCAATCTCCTTTGCCTTACTGAATATCATATTCTACACCCTACAGTCTTTTAATGTAGAAGCTGCAAGATCCTATGTAATCCTGACTGTGGTTACACGATATTTAAATTGTTTCTTTCTTGCTGCTTGTAGTATTTTCTCTTTGACCTGGTAATTTTGGAATTTAGCTACTATATTCCTTGGCATTTTCAATTTGGGATCTCTTTCAGGAGGTAATTGGTGGATTCTTTCTATTAGTTTACCTTCTGGTTCTAGGACCTCAGGGCAGTTTTCCTTTATGATTTCCTGAAAGATGCTGTCCAGGCTTTTTTTTTCATCGTGATTTTCAGGTAGAGCAATAATTTTTAAATTGTCTCTCCTGGATCTATTTTCCAGGTAAGTTGTTTTACCAATGAAGTATTTTACGCTTTCATCTATTTTTTCTTTCTTTTGTTTTTGTTTAACTGATTCTTGTTCTCTCATAGAGTCATTAGCTTCTATTTGCCCAATTCTAATTTTTAACAAATTGTTTTCTTCTATTAGATTTTGTACCTCCTTCCCCATTTGGCCAATTATATTTTTTAGGGACTTGTTTTCTACAGTTAATTTTTGTCCTTCCTTTTCCAAGCTATTGACTCTGTCTTGCATACCTCTCATTTCTTTTCCCATTTTTTTTTCTACCTCTTTCACTTGACTTTTAAAATCCTTCTTGAGCTCATCTAAGAAGGCCTTTTGGGCTTCAGACCAGTTCACATTCCTTTTTGAGATTCCAGATGTGGGTTTGTTGACAATGT